ATTTTACCCACTTTTATGGCGCTGGTTGCTAATATGACACTCAAGCGTGAATTACCTTTTTGGGCTATTTTGGGAAAACCCGGACGAGTGCTTTTGATGCTATCCATGTAGAAAGCAAGCATTAAGGGGTGAACGCCATGTGTTCAGCTATGTCTGCCATGAGAAAGCACGTCAATCGCTGAGGAGATTTCGTTCAATGAGGTTGGCCTTGGGAGGAAATGGGCGTGGTCTTCGACCAGAACCCGACACAGATCATCTGGAAGAAGAGACTTCGTTTTGGAGAAAAGCAAAAGGGATATCGTTTTTGCGCAGTTGGGGCCGATCACCAAGTATAAGCGCCATTTAGTCAAACGCAAGCTTTTCGGAAAGGTTATCACCGATTGACATGCTTTATCGTGTATGGCGAAAAGTGTGCGCGATCTAAAGGCAAGGCTAGAATAAACAAATTCCTTTTTTACAGCGCACACAGAATTATTGACACAAAATTGTACCGTATACACGGAAAATTTGCGGAAGCATTATGTAAAAATATCTGGAAACTTGTGTGAAGTAATATCTTTTCGAAATTTAGTCCGTCTCCAGACGGCCGCAAGACGATTTGAGATCATCTGGAGCATATAGCATCTTCACTTTACGTAAGTTTTGGATTTCTTTAACTTGGACGGATGCCCCAGCCAAGAATCCTGAGATAGGAACAGTTCATATCGTCCCTTGTCCGTTATTTTTTACCCTCTTTTTTTCGAAAATAGATTTTTGCTGTCGCACGTCAGCGTCAACTTTTCTGCGTCCTCTCCTTCTGAACTTTCATTTTCAATTCCGGCTTTTCAATATTAATAGTATATAGACAATCTCTTTCGTTTTTTTCCTTCTGCTTCTGTCCTCTGCTCGTGATCTATCTTGATCTGTTCCTTTATGAAGCAAATTATGTGTTTTTGGATTTTTTGAGAGTTTGAATTAAGATCGTGAAATTTTGAGCTTGAAACAGGCGAATGGGTTTGTCAAGGACTTAGGGCCGCATGCACTAACATGGCCGCGGGGAAAGGATCGGAGCTTTAAAAAAAGCTTCATAGTTCGAAACTCCAGATACCTGGATTTCACGTTGTGTACCTATCCGTAAGTATTCCTACTATCCTTCACTATGAACATGTTCAACAGGAGCGAGAAGCTGTACAAACCGCATTTTCCAACTTTTGTATGATCCGCGGCGCTTTTCTTTAAAGTCTTTTTCTTTCTCCGAAGTTAACGAAAAACTTCCAAAGTTGGATTATCTAACTCGACAGTGCTAAGCATGTTGCTGATAAGAACAAATGTGTTTTGAAGTCATGAAATTTTCGATGATCCACAGGTCGAAATTTGAGGTTTACCGAAAAATTCAATTATTCAAAAATTCATTTGTTCTCATCAGCAACATGCTTAGCACTATTGTGTTAAATGTTCAGTACAACTTTGGAAGGTTTTCGTTAACTTTGGAGAAAGAAAAATGAATTCAAAGAAATGCGCCGGGGATCATCAGGGATCATACAAAAGCTGGAAAATGCGGTTCGTACAGCTTCTTGCTCCTGTTCAACGTGTTTATAGTGAAGGATAGTAGGAATACTTATGGACAGGTAAACAGCGTGAAATCCAGATTTCTGAAGCTTCAGAATATGAAGCCTTCTTCTAAGCTGCGATCCCCTCCCCGCGGCCATGTTACAGCTTCTTGCATGCGGCCTTTAATGAGTATGCAGGGATCCACCAAAAATTGGAGGGTGGGGAGGAGGGGAGGGGGTCAAAGGGGAAAATTTTCGGAAGTCAGGGGGACTTCGTTTTTAAAAAGCCTACAAACGAATTCGTGCCAAGCCCTGTCCTCGACGTCGGAAGTCTGCCTAGACGATGTCTTTGAGGACATGATTCTACGCTCTTAAAGGTGCTGTGCTAAGCTGGAGAGGTTTTTTATACAAACAACAAGTTTACGAAAATGCATTTTTGGATTAGTGGTATTCTGGATTAAAATCTTCGATTACTGAAGTTACTGATCTACCGGCGTGTCGGTCCAAAAAGGTGGTGATTCTACTTTTTGACCAATCTCGGAAAAATTTGGAAGCTTCTATAAAGAGGCTGTTAAAGGCACCGTCTACCCAGATTTTCGACTTCTATGTTCTTGTCGTTTCAGGGCCTTCTCATGTCTCTGGTTCCGAATATGAAGTCGAGAATGCTCGAAAACCCCGACAATCCCCGCTCCGGAGAACCCGCAGGCCGGCTTTCCAAAACGGTGATTAGATGAGCGCGCACAAATGGGCGGGCATGGATGGGGGAGGGCGGGCATGTATGAGGTCCTCGTGCATCTTCGCTATTCCGAAGCGATTTTCTCGCTTCCGAAGCGCATTTTGCACCGCGACTTGGGCACTGGATTGATAGAGGGCCCTACTATTACATGCTGCCAAAAGTTCCGCACCCTCAACTTAGGGTGGACGGTGCCAATAAAAGTTCTGTTTACGGAGATGACATTCAGACAGCGTTTTATAGTAAGGTTACCGAAATGATGCAGTGCGCCTTACCTTGCAAGTTTCAAAGTACTGCGTTTGAATTTGAGGCCCAAAAACGCAGCAGTGTTCAAAATAAAAAAGTGATCATTATTATTGGTGCTCTCGAGATTTTTTGAGAGTAAGGACCTAGCCTCCTAGCATCATTCTTGAATTGTAGAACTCGCAGTGGAATTGAATATACTAGGTTGATGCAAAAATAATGGCAGTGGACTACGAGTTCTTAACGTTAAGAGTGATTTTTCTCAGATATCAACGCAGATACCAGGCTGAGATTTCACAGACATCTTCGAAGGATTTGTGGTACACAGTACCTGTGGGAATTCTGAACTGTGGGAAAGGGGCAGAGATACAGGCGGAGCTCGCAGATTTTTGATTTTCGTTTATTTCTCAAATTCTAAGTGACAAAAAACTACAGCAAGTGCATGAATGAACGTTACTATGGCCCGTAGTAAACCCCCATCAGGGCATCTCTCTTGAGGCGGACCGGAGTTGATCTCATCGCGCCTCAGCACATTGCCAAGGGAGCGATTGATCTGGAGCAGATCACTTACTGGACGTTCGCGTTTTCAAAATTGGAACGTTTCCGCCATTTGTGCATTAATAGTCAAGTGGATAAGACTAATGCATTTCGAGCGGGAGTGCCGTGGTACGAGCGGCTAGCGACCGCTCCGTTTTTGCTACTTGGCCTGGCGATCTTTGACAGCGGCGGCTGTCGAAAAAATCGATGATAGCCGCTATCAGAGACTTCACCTAACAAACAACGAGATAAAACAAATACGCAATATCTTGGCATTCATACAAAGAAAAATTACACTTGGAGAAAAATGAGTAGAAAGGTAAATTTAACTTCTTATTATCTGAAGCGGTTCACTATCAAAAACAAGCAACATCTGCAAGGAAAATGCAAAACAACATTTTTTTCCATTTCGTCGCGCAATCAGCTGTTCATCGATCCTCACCCACTTGGGCGCCCGAAATTGTGCAGTTTTGGGAGTTTTGCACCGCAAAAGAACGTCAGCTGCGATGTTCTGTAAGTTACTCGGGAGACACTTACGGAGGATTTCTCTGTGCTCTCCTCTTTAGCACAGTATTTACCTTATGTCGTCGCCCGGCTCATCTCCGATGACTCGGTCGGGAGCTGATCTCCCTGCCGGGCTTCATCTGAAGCTCACCTGTAGGGTGAGTTTCCATACTTACACCACGTAAAAGTGGGCAGTCCGCATCTCACCCGACAAAGCCTCATATGAGGGCCTCAGGGGAGATCATCTCCCGTGACGAGCTTCACTACGGGCCTATGTGTCTACTATGTGATGACCAACTGAGATTGTAGGACTTCTATCCGAGCAAAGATCTGATTTTTAGGTCCCGAGTGATCAAATACTCCCAGATTTTGACATCAAACCGTAGACCTAATGCGTAGATAGATTCTTAGTAGCCACTTTGTAGAGCTTGTTTTATTCTATCGAATGGTACCTCATTCACATGTTTCTGCATCCATATGTTTTGATGGCGTATGCAACGGCCATTATTTTGCATCAACCTAATACGTCTCAAAAGTCGAATTGTTGCTGCAAACACTCCATTTCTAGCCATTTGAGTCCATAAACTTTCATTTTGAGGCCTTCAACATACAAACTTTTCTCAAAGCCATAGTATTTTGGAGGCAGGCGTGCGTATGATGCGCTTAGAAAGGTTTGAGAATATGTATAATTCTCGGAAAGTGAGCGCGAAGAAGTAGTACTTGCTGTTCTTGAAAAATCTTATAGTGGTTCCTTGTGCCAAATACAAGCTATAATACTACGTGAGCAGGCACTTACTATCAAAATTGCTGACTTTTTTTTGACGTTCAATAACATCCCGTATAACAGATGTTTCGGCAACATGTCGTAACAGGCTTTTTATAGAGGAGGATTGGGCGACAAGAGTACCCTCTGCAATATTCTCGCAATTCCTTTAGCGAAATTCACGCGGTCGTCGCGATTCATCGCGATAAGACAACTATAATAACATCATTGCATGCCGATCTTCTTGCATTTCGGTTGTGATAGTTTTCCGACACAACTGATGACTAACTAGCGAGTTTTTTTTAAACATAAGCTCTGCAAGGCTTTGGGTCCGTTAATTAGCTGCAACTCAATTTTCGCAACCACCCGCAAAGACCACAGATTGATACTGATTGTAAGCAATCATTATTGATAATTCTGGAGTTTCCAACCACGCAATTTCTAGATCTTTTGTCTATAGGCTGCTGCATGACGAAGGCGCAATACCTTTGGGCGGGAACGCTGCTTTATTAGCCTCAGAGCGCATGAGTCGCAGTGCTTACAACGGTGAAGATACGCGCGCGCCGGGTTCGTGCCCGCTCAACTAACATTGCTTCCGCGCCTTCGTGCCGCAATAGCCTTTAGCTGCCAATTCGCTGCCCATGTACCCAACCACGTGCCTTTTCCTGTGTCGCCAATGGCTGTTATTCAGCTCGCTCTATGCAGCACGAACTATTGTGGTGTGGTCTTGTTGCTGATGTCGTATAACACTTATCTCAACAACTGCGAGGGTATTCTGTTTCCGCATGGATTCAAGTATAGCTTATCGAAAAAACGAGAGGACAATGAGTGAGTGTTGGAGCTTTACTTTTCCCTAATTTTATCAATAAGTCATATCAGATACAACGCATACCTTCACGAGCTTGTGGAGTACCTATATAGAAATGTTATCCTAGCTTTCCGAGAAGTTTTCGTTACGGTTGAGGAATATGCAATCATCAAAGCGCTTGTTCTTTTTTCAGGAGGTAAGTACTCAGATTTCTCATCATTATCCATGATTTTATTAGGGTGGTCGGTAAAAAATGGGGCACCTAGAGGATGAATGTAGATTGCTCAAGAAATAAAAATGATTAAACTTTCCAACTTTGATAGATGTTAGAATAAATTATTCTCTTTGAGAAAATACCTATATAAGGTCATTTACATACCTAACCAATTTTTGTAGTGGCTGAAATGCAGAGTCAGTTACTTTGACAAATTATAAACTTCGGGCAGTATCTGCGCACTGAAACATGCGAAACCATCAAAAGTACTACTGCTGCAATGCGTGAAGGTATAGTCACCAGACCCACGATAGGTTGCTGACCTCAACTTTCAAATTCAGGGGATATGGTCATTAGCATCTTTGAGGACAAAGATACGTGCTATTCAATTCTTTGCAGGTGAACACATGTTTTATAGGTACCACCTGAAAGAGCAGTTTACGCTCTATCCATCCATATGCAGTTCACCTCACATTTTATCTATCTTCGGAAAATACAGATTGAAAATTGATTTATTTGGTTTTTGTTGCGCCAAAAAATCGCGATTCTTCAGGCATTTCGCCTTTTTACCCAGAAATAGAAAGAAAGCCTGCATATTTAACATATTGTTTGAAAGAGCATAAAGAGCTCTTTCGAATGGTATATCAATTGCTCTATAACTTTGAGGTATGGCAGCGCGAGAATAAGCGATGTTCAAAAATCCTGCTCGAGTTCTTCAGGGCGCATGGTTGTGGGAGAGGAGCGTTGACGCTTTGCCGAAGGTCGCTTATATAGGCGACGTTTACGTTGCATCCTGCTTGTTGCTGATCGAAACAAAAAAATCTCAAAACTTAATAAAAATCAAGCTGCCCCATTTTTTACCGATCACCCTCATAGCTGGCTTTCTTCATTCATAGGAAAGAAATTTGTGAGTACTACCAAAGCTGCATCTACTATATGATAAAGCAAAAAGTGACGCAGTATTTCTCAGCGCAAATTTCTACAAATCTTCATAATTATATACCCATTGACTGGCATGCTCGGCTCCGCCCGGCTTTGTCAATACACTTCGATGAAAGTCGCCATTCCTATCTTTCAATATTACCTCGTCCCCGTCCCACATCTAGTTGTAAAGAGAGTTACCGAGCAGTTTTGGAAAATTCATTTAGACTTTCGCACTCAATCTGATCTTAACGACAAGTTTCTCATACCGCTTTGTGGAAAAAAGCCGAAGTCTTCTGAAAACTTTCAAATTCCACAATCGCTTAGCAAAAGCGGAAGCAGAATTGTAATCAACGCTCGAAGACGCATTCAGTGGTGCTTCATTACGAATGGCCACGGCCACCAAGTATCCTTCCCTAACTATGCGCCTTCATGGTAGCAACCGCCTTTAGCAGTCCGTAGCCGCCTTAGTCGCTTTTATACTCACGGAGTGCAAAATCATCCTGTTTTCACCACGCTACAATGCAACTGTGTACGCCTGCTCTTCTTCCATGCCCTTTTTTATCCTCGCCCATGCGCATTCGACTCTCACATACTTCTTTGTATTCGTTGTCATCATTACTTGGTTGCTTAAAGCTCAAATTCGCTAGTGGCCATATTTTCATTGTGATCCATCTTGTCTTTCTTTTCTCAGATTGAAGTAACCTGCTGATTGCGCTGCCTGAAGTTCATTCGTCCTAAAATCATTATCCAAATTTGGATGCGATTGACCCTTCCAAATGTGCTTTGCATTTGTGCATCGGTAGCGAAAAAAGGCCTTTTTGTAAATCATAACAGAGAAATGCTGATGCGTGAAATGTGAAATGATGTAGTTTAGCTAAAGCAAATTCACGAGGAAAAAATTTATAGCAGAAACTTACGTCAAAAATATAGAAGTGTCAAAACGCACTTGGAAGTGCCGAGTGCATCGGAATGCGGGAGATTAAGCTGATCATTAAAATCTCATCAATCAAGACAGATCGTAACAGAGAATTAGGCCACTGGCAAATCAAAGCTTCCCCTCACCAGATAATGACGACAACGGATACAAATGTAGTATATGAAAGTCGAATGCACATGGTCGAGAATGAAAATACTTTGGAGGATGAGCAGGCGTGCAGATTGGATGATAGTGAAAATGTGATAATCTCGCGCGAAGTAAGAACAAATGCGGCTATGGCGAACGACGGCTGGCGGCTTCCAGTGGATAATATGAAGGCCCCCTATGGTAGAGTATAGGTGGCACACTTTTGAGGATAAATTTGAGCAGCTGCAGACGCATCATTAGCGTAATAGCATGAAATATCCAAGTTTAAAACTAGACTAAGGCAATGCCGAAAAAACTTTTAGAAATGTTTACTCACACAGAAAGGTACCAAACTTCAACTGACCTTTTGTAAAGAGACATACCTAAACTAGCTTAGAACGTCCACTGCATAATAAGGTCCAGTAAAGGCAAATAAACCTAAAATCGCACCGGACGTGCTCATTACTGCGCTACCTTATCGCTAATTTTCCGTTTTTAAAGCCATGCTTTGACAGTGGTTGTCGCACCAGCTATCTAGTTCAGTTTGCTTAGTGTCATTTGACAAAGAAAAGTTGGGAGAAAACGCTCCAACACAAATCTCTAGCTCAGCGGTGCACATGATACATATGCATGATGAACATGTTGATGCGAAGATGACTGGTGAACTTGACTGATCTTACTGGAATTTGACGTAATGTATATACACGAGTAGTTAATAATCAACATGCTAACTCTCGTTGGCCAGATAAGAGTTTTATCCCAAAAGGTGCAATGGTTTTGCGATTGACTTCACATTGCCTTTCGATTATCTCTATCAAGAAAGTACAGATTCGCGAACTCGAACCCCGTGCCTAAAAAAGAGGTTGCCATGAGGTTTGCGAGCTCGTCGTCATGTCTTATGCCAACATGCCGGGTGGATTTATACGCTTATGTTATTTGCATTTTATGTTCTTACTGGATACTTGCAGTGATGTCGCTTAGCGACGAAGGATCAGAGATTGTATCAAAGGCGCGTCGGAAATACGGCGCTCTTTTATCCGAGTACGTAATGGCAACGCGAGCAGATCTTACTACGGCAGATCAAATGGCACGTGTATCCAAACTGTACAGCATCATACCTCATATAATGGTTTGTTTTTTCTTTCGTTTCTTATTCACAAGACTGCATACATTCTAGTGACATGATTGAGCTTGTACTAGTGGAAATTATTCCTAATGGTTCCGACATTACAGCACGCTTCTGAAAGCGACAACACTTACTGTGCCAGAATGGTTATGATGAATGTGGGCAACATGAACGGATCATTGTCCTATGATCTTCACGTACGCAAATTCTAATTTGATGTTGACATCCCCAGTGATTAAGAAATCTATTCGTAATACATTTTTGCATGTACTACACAAACTCTCTTCTCTTCACACTGCTTTCAAAAGCTTTACGTTGTCATAAATCGCATCATATACGAATCTTAGTATCCTCACATACAGTTGTTGTATCTTCAGAACTGTTGCATCACAAGATACGCGTTATAAAAACTGCTTTGCAAATAAAATCTAAAATGGCGTCTTATGACAAGTTAAGATTTAGGCTCATAAATCAACTTTTATCCTATTTTTATGTGTTCAACCCCCGCAACCGGTTTGCTCTAAGCGAGAGCAGACCCTGAGGGCATAATGCGCGTAGGCTGCAAAGTCGTCGTTCTTTCCCACTATTCCAGCAATCAAGTCTCGAACACGCTCATATTTTTGCGCGTTGCCCTTCCAACGATCACGGTTTGGCTTGTATACGTGAAATACGGTTAAAAGTTATACCTTTTCTTTCTCTTGCTTTTGTTTAGAGAGAGAAGGATGAAAACGTTGATACACTCGATACAAACGTGAGGGCAATCTTTTCACAATCTCATGTTCTTTCACTTCGCTCCCTTCTCGTTTAGCGTAAGCTAGAAGCTGATTTGGAAGGTCGACCGCTACGTATACATCCCATGGAGAAGAATTCTGCAGGTCGAAAAGATTTTTTATAAACAACAAATTCTAAAAATAAGTTGAACTGTATAGGTTGAAGCTTAAAGGCAGTGCCCCGGCAGATTTTGCACCTCCACCTTTTTGCATGTTTTAGGCCTTTTCGCCACGTAGAATCCGAATTTGAGCTTTGAACGGGCTGAAAAGGCCGATTTTGGGGCGTTTTCCTAATTCCAGAAAAGCAGCTTGGACGAGATTTTTGATGGAAAGTTGGGGGAGGTCCTCAGACGAAGATCCTGCCGCCTGTAATTCTTGCTTTGGTTAGCATGCATCATAGGGGAGAGCGCTCGTGGGGTCCCGCGCCGAACAGGCGGGGAAGGCCGTCCAGGCGCGCGCCAGTTGGGGTTACGCGCGTCGGTTCAAGGGCCATTTTCTCGGCCCAGGGGGAACATCACCCAGCCGGAGTGCGCCTGGAGGTCGATGGGGTGACCAGGAACCCCACCACATGTATATCCCCCAGGACCCGAATTTGCCGGGACACTGCCTCTAAGGGCAGTGTCCAAGCAAAAAGTCGAAAATGAGATTCTGTGCTTATCCATATACATCCGTCATGCTGAATCCGACAAACCACAATAGAGAGCGCGAAAACGCCAAAAAAGGCACTAACGCAGGAAGGAAAACGCAGGTGGGCGGGGCCACTCACACTGTGACGTCAGGGTTCCTTCGGGTTGAGCCAGACTTCGCGGGGAAGCGGCGTACGCGGCGTACGCAGCGTACGCTCGGTATATTTCATCATAGGAGCATACGCGGCGTACGCTGCGTACGTCGCGTACGCCGCGGTCTGGCCCAACCCTTCATACTATGCCGCGTACGCCGCGTACGCCACCTACGCCGCGTACGCAGCGTACGCCGCGTACGCCGCTGCATCGCAATGGAAATATGCTCACGGCAGCAAAGCTCCACTTTTTTTGATGTATCTCTATATTTGCTGCACATTCGTGTCCCTCAATAGTGTTCCTTCACATTATGCATTTGTTCTTCTCTTTTGCTTTGTTTATCCTGTCTATTTTTTGACTATATCAATGATTGATGGAATGACTTAGGTTGTTGTGCTTCCTCTACTTTTGAGTTTCACATTTTGTATCGTAACTGACTTCACATTGCGTCATCTGGTTATACATTGGTAGTATATGGTTGTATCTGGTTGTATATTTGCGGTATGTTGTATCTGGTTGTATATTTGCGCTGTTAACATCTCTTTACAAACACATCAATGGATGAAAAGGATTTCCCTTCTTCATATTCCCATATTTCCATTGCGCTGCAGCGTCGTACGCGGCGTGCGCGGCGTAGTATGAAGGAACCCTCATTCTCCCAGGCTTTAGGAGCGATCTTCTCGGTTCCGACTATGTCATGCGTTTCGCAGTTGGCTGGTGGTGATGTTAGGGCAACTAGCAGAAACGAGAAGATCCCCCCTGAAGCTGGGAGAAGTGACGCCACCATGTGAACAGCCCCGCCCACTTGCAATATTCCTCCTCCGTTGAAGCCTTTTCGCCGTTTTTGCGCTCTCCAGCGTTGATTTTCGGATTCAGCATAGCGAATAGGCCCAGGTAAGCACAAAATCTCAAAATCGACTTTTTGCTTGGACACTGCCTTTAACACCACGAATACAGAAATGGAATTGGGAAAACAAACTCCAGGAACCATAAGCGTGGATGGAGAAGAGCCAAAAGAAATGATGATCCATTTTAAAACACCCTTGGTGCATTTAAATCTACACTGAGACGGACCTAAGTTGGGCTTACGCACCTAAATTCAGCAATCAATAAGCTATCGCTTTAGCTATCATGCTATTTCCAAGCTTCTTAATGAAGTTAATCGGAACCTCAAGGAGTTTTTCTTTTCGAACTAATTTTTCATTCTCATTTCCGTTTGAATAACTGAACTGGCAGTAAATGCAAAACTGTTGTAAAGTGACGTCATCAAATCAACAATTTACTCCTTAATTTTGGAAAATTCAGTTTGAATGGTTCAAAGCTTTTATAATTTTCTGTGCAAATGCTTGTAACTTTGTTAAGTGAATCGTAAAGAAAATTCGGAGGACAAGTTGCTGCAATCCTTCTCCTTCTCTCCATATTTCTTCATCACGATTCAAGCGGAGTAGATGGCGTCGGTTTTCTTTAGTCATTTCACAGACCCAAACTGACTTGTTATAAACTTTATGGTTTTGAAGTTGCATATTGATCATTAATCTAAGTTCTTAGAGTGTTTTCGCTAGGATTCAATTTGGAATATCTACTTTGTTTTTCCTATAGGAACATTGTGCTGGTATCTCAGCCAGAAGGTATATTCTCACTTCTTGTGATTGATATGATATGATACATTCTATAAAGGGGGCTCGATAGCTATGAGGCTCCGGACTGTCCACATCCTTTCCAGTGGCCGTATTCATCAACGAACTCTAAGAATAAACCTTTTCCTCAAGGGTAGGTTAGGCTTTACCCTCAGGGTTCATTGGCCGTATTCATCAACGAATCGTTGAGTGGAGGGTAGGATTTACTCCGGAAAGCGATTAACCCGTATCGATCAATGATTGAAAGTAAATCTAACTTTTGAGGGTTAATCTTACCCTCGTGGTAAGCCTTACCCCAGAGAACGATTAACCCGTATTTGTGGCTCATCAGGGTAAAAAAAACCTAGCACTCAAGATTAGATTCACTCTGAACTCACTTTTACAAACATCAAAAGTGATTCTCTACGCACTACTCGGTCCTAGCATACTGTTTTGACAATAAACATATATTTATTATCACTACTATCTCAAACTTCCAATGGTCTCTTATTGTGTTTTCGTTTGATGTTGTCATCCGATATCAAAGGCCGAGTTGCTATAGTGAAGATTTGGTTTTGAATAAAGTACATGTCCAACTAAGGACCGAACATCAAGCTCAACTCAGATAGCATTCATTATTCAACAAAGCTCGACTGAGGCTCCTCCAATCAAATTTTAGTCCACTATTAACGATCTTTGCACGATCTAATGTCGTGATTCAACCAAATACGCTTTGATTTCGAACAATAAATTAAAAAATTTTACCCTAATTTTTATAATATGATCAGATGAGACAAAAAAGACTTGACAAACTTAAGTATTAATTAGAAATATATATGTTTTCAAATAGAATCTTAGGGCTCTTAGGGCTAGGTGATGCATCGAGAGATCACTTTATGTTTGCATGATGTGTCAGGATAAAGCTAACCTTGCTCTATGCTAGCGTTAAATTTACCCTGATGAATCATGTTCATAAATACGAGTTAAGCGCTTTCCGGGGTAAGGTTAACCCTCAAAGGTAGATTTAACCCTCGGAGTTAAGCCTGCCCTGTGCTTCGTAAATAGCTAGCTTTAGGTTAGCTTGTCGTGGTTAGACTTACTCTCCAGGGCAAGTTTAACCCCAAGAGTTCGTTGATGATTCCGGCCACAGAGCCCAGTTTTATGTCGTCCGGATTAGTTCCTTTCCCGCTCTTTGTCTTTGTTATAACTACCCTCCTCTTCCGTGACTGTTAGTACTGATCGTTTTACATCAATTCCCGCTGAACGTCTCTACGAACCAGGCTGCTATTTATAGCCTACTTATTTACATAAACAGATCATAATGGAAAACATCAGATTATTCTATCAACTCACTAGCTGGCTTACCCGGCTCCGCCGTATCCGGACCAAACTTGGCACACATACACTTCGGGCCCCGGCGGGTGTCACAGTCCACTTTTCGTTATCGATCGATGTCGATTTTACCGATTTTTATCGACTTTTTTGCAGAGTTCACCTACAGGGCTAGGAGTTGGCACAGGGGGGAAGTGAGCATGGGGATTCCGAATACAATATTAGTTTTCAGAATTATCGATTACTTTTATTGATTTTATCGATTTTTTGTAAATTTTGACATGCGAGGCTGGGATTTTGCACAGGGGGTAATCGAGCATGCTGATTACGAACACAATATTAGTTTTCAGGATCGTCCATTACTTTTATCGATTTTATCGATTTTTGAAAATTTGAGCTAGGGGGCTGGGAGTTTGCACAGGGGGGTAATCGAGCATGCAGATTACGAATACAATATTAGTTTTCAAGATCGTCCATTACTTTTATCGATTTTATCGATTTTTTGAAAATTTGAGCTAGGGGCTGGAATTTGGCACAGGGGTGTAATCGAGCATGCTGATCACCCCCCTTGGGGATGATCAGCATGCTCGATTACCCCCCTGTGCCAACTCCCAGCCCCGTAGCTCAAATTTCGCAAAAAATCGATAAAGTTGATATCGATCGATAACGAAAAGTAGCCTATGACACGCTCCCTGCCCCGAAGTATATGTGTGCCAAGTTTGGTCCAAATCGGTTCAGAGATAAAAATTTCTATTCCGCACATACGTACAGACAGACAGACGGACAGACATACAGACAGACAGACAGACATTCAGCTTTATATATAAGATTTCTACTTAGCAGCCTTCACTAATACAGT